ACACTCATATGAATAAGATCAATAAATCTTCAAAATTTTAAAGTAAGAAAATGAAATGAGTAGTCTTTACAGATAAGATAAAACTGGGTGTGGTGTAGCATGAACCTTAAAGGTGCTTATTAATAAAAATCAAACTTGAGGCCAGTTATTGGGGTGAATGCTGGAAGATCAGAGAAGCAGAACAAGCCACAGCTACCTCACCTTGCCAGTTCCACAGGTGATCCTGTTTCCTCAGACTGGATGCCTCTGAGTCCTCATCCAGCATGAATCTCAGCTGAACTGCTGCTCAAAAGCCTGAAAGCTTAACCAGCCAAATGCTTCTAGTTCCTCATCTTCACGCCTTATATACCTTTCTGCCATCACTCCCTGGGATTAAAGGCTCACTTCTTGGGGTTAAAGGCGTGTGTCACCATGCCTGGCTGATTCCAATGTGACCTTGAACTCACAGAGATCCAGAGGGATTTCTGCCTCTGGAATGCTAGGATTAAAGGCGTGTGTTACCACTGCCTATCCTCTATGTTTAATATTGTGGCTGTTCTGTCTCTGACCCCAGAAAAGTTTATTAGGGTGCACAATATTTTGGGGAACACAATACCACTACAGTGTGGTTGTCCATGCCTTTAATCTCAGCACTCAGGAGGCCGAGGCAGATGGAGCTGTGTGAATTTGAGGCCAGCCTGGCCTACACAGTAAGTTTCAGGATAGCCGGCTTTACACAGTGAGAATCTTAAAGCAAAAACCAAGGTAAAGAAATGAATGAAAAAGGTTTCTAAAAATCCTAATTGGACTTTTATACCTAGTTAACTATGGTAGTGAAAAAATATAGATAGCCCCACTTGTTCCCTCAAGTTCTTCTTAAGCCACATTGAAAGGACTATTAAATGAGTCATAACTCCATAGGACTTAGTTGGCAGGGGCAAGATAGTAACAACTAATTTTTAGAGATAGCAAACAGGATGGGACACATTAGATGGAACAGCATTCACTCTTTTCAGGAGGAGCCCTGACAGCTGAGAAGCACACCGGCTGAAATCCTTGCAGGTGCTGTGAGAGTTAGAAGGATAGCCATGTTAGGTACCTACAGAAGGAGGTGGCAGTGATCGGGCTGAACATGGGAAGCCAGTACATTCCACTTGAGAACTCGTAATTGGGCAGTGACTCTAATGTCCTTGATCCCAGCACTTGGTAGGTTGAGGTGTAAAGGCCTAGACTTAACTTTATAGGCTTTATTTTAGGGAAAGGACCACCATCTCAGATCACCTGCTGTACTCAGTTCTAGGAAGGACCTCAGGAATATGCCATGATAATTCGAATGGATACAGAGCAGTATCCTTCTGTTTAAAGGAAAGCTCAACAGGATCCAGATACTCCTACAGACATCCTGTCTGCTGTTTATACAGGAAAGGAAAGCTTAACAAGATCCTGTCTGTGGTTTATGGCCCTTGGAGATATCTAGATAATCTTGCTGAGCAGTCCAAATAATCCTGTTCAGTGGATTGTGGTTCCCTGCCCAAAGTCTAACCCAATGGTTTCAAATGTGGTTTTGCGCAAAGTCTAGACCAATAATTTCAAAGAATCACCTTGCCCCATACACCTTCTACCCAATCCCAAATTGCCAATTCCCAGCTTGTGGTTTTTCCCTATAAAAACCCTCTACACCTGGGCTTGTGGCTGCCGCCACATTTCCTTCCATCTGCCGTGCGGTGGCCCAGGTTAAACCTGAACAAAGGGACCCTTATGTGCTTGCATCAGAAACCAGCTCCTTGGTGGTCTCTGGGGGTTTCGGAAATGGGTACAACAGAGACAGGAGTATTGGTAGTTCAAGGCTTGCCTGAATTACAAGTGGGACAACTTAGGGTAAAAAGCAAGTGAGATGGAAAAAAAAAGAGAGAGAGAGAGAGACAGAAGAAGAAAGAAAATTATCACTGCCCACAAGTTGCTGACTTTGTTCTAGAAGATAAAGTAGATGACAGTGTTTCTGGGGTGTGATCACCAGTGTATGACTAAGAGATGCTGTTTAGAAAACAAAGGGATTAGATTAGATAAGGGTTTACATATTTTCTTAGCAAGAGAGAGCTTTTTGGAAAATTGTTCCTGGAGTTTTAGTTCTAGGAAAAGTGAGAAAACAGCGTAAGCCAGGTGTGGTAGTGTGTCCCTGTAATCCTAGGAATGAGGAGGCTAGAGAGTCCAGGCTAGCTTGAGGTATAGAGCAAACCCAAGGTCCATCTGGGCTGTACAGTAAGATGTTGTCTCAACAAAACAAACTAACCACCAAAAACCAAAATCTGGGACTTTCGGATGGTTCAGCAGGTGAAACTGACTTCTTGTTCAATATCCAGGACTCATATCATAGGGAGAACTGACTCCTGCAAGTTGTCTTCTCACCTCCACATGTGAACCATGGCATCATATCCCCGTGTGCATGCACATAATTGTGCATAATAAGTGATTTGTAAATGCAAAATAAGTAATTTGTAAAGCCTTAATCTATAATTCAAAGTACTAGTGTTGAGAACATGATGGAACTCTGAAGACATGCCTACATGGACTAAGTTTCCACTGAGCCCCGAGCATGTGGAGCTGCCAGGAAAGCTCCACAGGCTGGAGGTGTCATTCATTGGGTACAGTGCTGGCCTAGGATTTGTGAGGTCAAAAGTTGGATCCCTTGTAAGCAGATGTATTGGAGAAATGAATGTAGAATTGAAGAAATAGAGACAAAAAAAATAGGTATTTTAAGATGGGAATATGTGAATGGTGTCTTAATCTGGTGCATTATTCCGAGACTGAGGAAAGGATGCTGGGAGAGAAAAGAGAAGCATCTTGTGGGCCCTTGAGTGTCTGAAGGCCCACAAGACAGAGAACTGGTAAAAGGGAAATCAGGTGCATGCCATACCTGGGGCTCAGATAATGAAGCATATCAGGAAGGAGGCCCAATTGCACACATCAGATCCGCTGGGGACTGAAAATGAAATGCTCCATTTAAGCACCATGGAGACCACTGAGGATGCAGTGGGCTGGAGTGGGCTGGAGCACAGTGGAGGGCTGAGGTTTTGATACAGAGAGTGAGCTTTGGGTGGTCTCCAGAGTGGGTGTTTACAAACCAGAATAAAAACTCTAGGCTGCTAAATTTTTAGAGAATACCCCTTTCCACGGGACACTAAAGGGCAGAACTGTAAGAAAAGGATATGCAGGTGAAGTATTCCCTGTCCAAAGACTGAGAAGTTAGAATATCATGTGATGTTTTAGTCGCTAGCGATTCCTCTATAGAGAGTATAGGAGAAATAGTCTTGCTATCAGGCAACACTCTTCAGTGCCTTAAATGTATTTCTGGTTATTTTTCTTTATTCTCTAGAAAAAAGAAAGAGAAATCAGTGGGCTAGCAAGATAGCTCAGTGGGTAAATATGGGAGTGTGATCATCACGCATACAAATATATAAATAAATAAAAATCATCAAAACAGTTTAAGGGTCTAGCAAGGAACAGCACTAAACAGGAAAAGGCCCTTGCTACCAAGCCTAAAGACCTAAGTTAGATTCCCAGGACCCATGTGGTAGGAGTAAACTGACTCCTGTAAGCTGGTCACCCTGAGACTTTCCTGATTGCTTGTTATCATGGTGCATGTACAGACCCATACCCTTCACATCCAGATTTTAGGAAGCATGAGAATTGGTCAGTTTGGTCTTCTTTAGTCATTAGCCACCCCAAAGCAACAGGCTCCCAAAGAACACATTTCTGTATCTTCAGTAATGCCTGTACATCATTGAATTCATTAGACATTTGTTTCAGAGTGTGAAACTTTACACCTCGTAATTACCTGTGTTTTGGAAGATGTGCTTGTGCTTTGGGCTGCTAGCACTATCCCTCTGTCCCAGGGCCTTTACCCACACTATAGCACAACCCACTTACTCACTCTCTCCAGGCATGAGTCACATGCCACTGCATGCTTAATATATTTAACTCATTAAAGAAGTGCAAATGAAAATGTCAGCAAGATACCACCCTTTACCTGGTAGACTGAAACCCTCATAACCAAGTTTGTAGCTTGAAACCCTCATAACCAAGTCCTAGTAAGGATATGGACAAGTGACACTTTTATACTCCACTCAGGGTGATGTTAACTGGACTGGTTCATGGAAATGCTACCTCAGAAAATGGTCTCAGTCTCTTTTCTTCACTTGGTCATGTATTGAACATGCACTTATGTTACAACCCAGGATCTCACTCCAGTTTTTTTTTTACCAAAGAGAAATGTCGATCTGTGTCTATCCAAACACCTGCATGTGAATGCTTCTGGCAGTTTTATTCCTAGTTACCCAAAATAGGAGCCAATCTAAATGTCTTTCACCATATGAAGAGGTGATCTATGGCATATCTCAAAATGGAATGTTAATCAACAATCAGAGGGAGCAGACTCCCAGTGTACACACTCTTATGGATCAATCTCCAGTGTGTTTGTTAAGTAAAAGAAGCTGGGCAGAAAGGCTGATTACTAGAATTCAGTTTATAAGAGGTACTGGAAGAGGCAGACCTGTGGGGACAGAGCACAAAGGAATGGGGCTAACTGTGAAAGGGGTGCTCTTTAGACTGGTGGAACTGAGCCCTGCATGGTTTGAGGGCATGAATGGTGACTGTTACATGACTCGGCATTTCTTAGACCTGAAGGGGGTGAAACTTTCTTGTATGCAAATCTATCCTCAATAAACAATCGAAATCAACACTTGAAATCTTCCCTCATCGTCTTACTTGCTTCATAAAATCCTTCACAGGATCACTGCAGATATACATCATTTCTTGTTGGGCTTTCAGTGTGAAGAATCAAATGTTTGACCTTTCTTGACTGTCTTTTTCCAGTCTATCAAATTCTCAACCATTTTTCAATCTTAATTACTTTACTGAGAATCCATAAAGTTTAAGCACAGGTAATTTGCAATAAGGCTAAAAAACTATGATGATGAAATGAAGCTCATGTTGACACAGTTACTTCCTTACTTTCTCCACAGACAGCCGAGAGTGCCTTGCAGACGATTGTAGTATAATTGCTGGAGGGAACCTCACTGGTTGGCACCCAGACTCTGCTGCTGTGTTATGGCGAAGAGTCTTGGGAATCCTTGGGGATGTAAATAATATCCAGTCACCGAAGATCCATGCCAGAGTTTTTGGCTATCTCTATGAACTGTGGTACAAACTGGCCAAGGTGTGTTCTTCTGTTACCTTTTATACTAATCCAGAAAAATGAACATATGTCATATAACATACAAACTATTGACCATCTTCTGAAATGCAGACTATGTATGCATTTAGATGAAATACATTTGATTGCCCAAGAGTAAGTCATAATATCTGTAGTTTTAATACTTTACTAAATGCCTAAGAGTTATTTCATTTAGTACCAAAGTATATTAATAGAAGATATTAAGAATAGAATATTATGTGGTTTCAATATTCATTTTAGCAAAGTGATACTATTTTGGTTGTGCAAAGTTGGGAGAATATAGAAAAGCATGAAGGTATTTATATCCACATTTTATAGAATAACTAATATTAATATCTAAAATATATCTATTTCCATGGATAAAGACATTTTACTAAATAAACTTAGAGTATACCGTTTTCATCCTGTCTTTTATTTTGATACTAAATATATATTTTCCATCATTAAATACTTTTCCAAAACATGACTTACATTCATATAGCTTAATTTATGAAATCATCTCTTACCATTTGGCATTCAGGACCTCCCTAGGTATTCACATGTTAGGAAAAGCAATACCATTCTTTTGTGTTTAAAGCTACAACTACATGCAATAAGCCAGACACAATCCAAAGGGAGAAGAAATCTTATAATAAAAGAAAAACCTGTAAATACTATAGATTTCTCATTTCACGTGTAAAAAATGGAAGCGGTTTCTTGGCAATGCAAGACAATATTTCTATGTAGTTGTAATAAGAAGAATGTTCTCTTGCCTAAAATTCTCTTTTGAATTAGATACGAGATAATCTAGCAATAAGCCTGGATAACCAGTCGTCTCCATCTCCTCCACTCTTGATCCCACCACTCAGAATGTTTGCATCATGGCTATTCAAGGCAAGTGTTTATTCTTTTATTGCAATTTCCTCTTCCCTTCTGAAATTGAGTTTAAAAACTGTAATTGCTCAAGACTGCATGTTTTGAAGACAGGCTGGGTCTTACTACAGCCAGCACATCCCACATCTCCAAACAACTCTTCAGGAAAACTGAGAAGTAAATGAAATGTTGAAATGCTCTGCATCTGGACTTGATTTAATCTAGAAACATCATCTCCTTGGCAGGCTACAACTCTGCCAAATGAATATAAGGAAGGCAAACTGCAAGCCTACAAACTGATCTGCGCCATGATGACCAGACGCCAGGATGTTCTGCCAAACTCAGATTTCCTGGTGCATTTCTACCTTGTGATGCACCTGGGATTAACCAGCGAGGACCAGGTATCCTGTGACTTCTTTATCATGGTGTACCATGACGAGAAACAGCTTGCCACACTTTATATGTATCAGGGCTTGAGGAAATATACCAGAAATGCTTAAATCCTCAGTATCTCCTACTTGTCACAATTACGGTTTGATCAGGGTTTATCATATTGTTACTTCTTCCCCTCACTGACTCTGCATGCACCAACTAAATCTGAATTTTATGCTGTGACCCATATGATCCACTCTCTGCCTTTGTTATAAACTTCAAACTGCCATCTCAGCTATTTTTCCTCTGTGGTTCTGGCCAGTTTAAAAGTATTTGGAGATATATGTTTTAGTAGTTGGGTTCTTGTTTTGAGGCACAGCCTCCTATGAATTAAGGATCTTGGCATTTCTTGATGTGGGGTTGCTTTTATTTCTTCCAAAGAAATAGAAGTTTTTGTTTGGTAGGAACAAAAAGACCCAAGGCCTTCACAAAGCTACAATCCCCTCTTTGTAGATCCTGGATTTAGGATTATAGGATGTGGCCAGTACCTGGTCTGCCTCCCTTGGGAAGTCCCCTAGCACTTGTGAGGGATAGGAAGAGGGATGCAGATAGGCATATGGACTTTTGAAAACTGTTCTTTTTATATCTACTTATTTCTTTTGTGTGTAGGGGTATGGGAGTGTGGGCACATGAGTGGCACAGCTCAAGGATGGAGGTCAGAGAGCAATTTGCAGCAGCCAGTTCTCCTTCTGCTCTGTGGGTCCTGGGGATTAAACTCAGGTCACCAGATTTAGTGGCAACCTTGACATTTACTTATTCATTTTTCTTTTGAATGTGCTTGAGTCTTTCCAGTGCTTGGGAAGTCGTCACTGTATTCTCTGGTTCCCTGGTACAGACTTTGAGCTGTATTCCCTGAGCTTTGTTCTGATCCTTCAGCATGCTGTCCCAATGAGTTCTTGTCATGGTTCTTCTTTTTTTTTTTTTTTTTTTTTTTTGGTTTTTTTGAGACAGGGTTTCTCTGTGTAGCTTTGCGCCTTTCCTGGGACTCACTTGGTAGCCCAGGCTGGCCTCGAACTCACAGAGATCCGCCTGCCTCTGCCTCCCGAGTGCTGGGATTAAAGGCGTGCGCCACCACCGCCCGGCTTGTCATGGTTCTTCTGACCAGCATTAGAAGACATTGATAATAGCAGCTGAGCTTGGACCCGTGGCTTCATTTATTTTTTTTTCAATAGATGTTTAACTAGGGACATTAAGTACAGTCACTTGCATCCTCTGCCTGACTATTTCCAGCTGCCCCTGCAGATGGGGAAGCACCTCCTACAGATTGAGGGGTGTAAACAGCAAAGACAGTCAACTTCGAAGATTGTAGTGAGCTCCCTCAGTGTAGGAAGGTTGACTTTATGTTTAAGTCCTGTTTTGATAAGATTTTTCATGGGAAAAAAAACATTATTTGGAAATAATGATCAACTGTAGAATTTCTTGATATAATAAAAACAAATCTGGAGTCAGTACAAAGCAGTAGTTCTTAGAAAGTTTTTTATAAAGTCCCATAAAAAAGTGTGAGTTTAAAATCATCTTTCTGTTTGAAGGTGTGCTGATATAAAAATGAAACAATAAAATATGAAATAAGGATTATAATATTTAAAAACTCTAAGTAGTATGAGTATTTTTTATGAGCCATTTAAAAAATATTTTACACTCAGGAAAAATGTTGAAATTATACTTAAAATTATCTTCACATTTTAACATACATCATATTTTCAGTTAAATGAAGACAATGATCTTTTGTAGATTTGTTATAAAACAGTGTAAATCTTAAAAGACAGCCCAATGCCAGCAGCAATACCATCATAGCAGACTTTAGAACAGAATGGGGATATCATACATCTCTATTCTATAATCAGCCTATTGTGTAGGCCAGTAGGAGCCTGGATTTTTATGTGGCTTTAATAGAATTAACTCTTTTCCTTTAACCTTAATAATTATTAGTATATATTTCAGAAGCCCTGACTGTCTGCCAAACAGAATTACTCTAAGTGGACTTCATTTCTTCTCCAGAAGAAACTTACAGAGTCCTTCTAATGAAAGAAACCTTTCTCGTTTCAGTAAGAAAAGTCTCTGGGTAATTAGTTTAACTTTTGGCCCACATGTCTAAATAGATCATGGTGGTTGTTTTAGAACTTATATGCACTTCTTGAAACACATGCTATATTCATTATAAAAAAGAAAAGAAAACATTTGCCACAGAGAATACAGTTAAATTCAATTTTTTAATTGTTAAGCCAAGCACCTGTGGCTGGTACCATGTCAAGGCTTTTTCCATTGTATGAGAGTCGCAAAGAAATACATTTCTATGTTCAGGATTTGCTTATGAAGAAGGAAAAGTCTAAAATCTATCATTTGTTTTAAAAATAAGTAATAGCAACTGTATATGTGTATTTTAGTTTAACCTTTACTAGTTTTGTTTTACAAATAAAACACAAGATGTGTTTTCTCCTTTGGCCTCTGGGTGTCACCCTTGTCTGCTCAACCTAGCCATGAGGTTTAAAACTGCCAGAAGAGCCAGAACCCTGTGAGTGATAGTGTGTACAAGGTGGTGTTTTACAAAATGCTCTCCTGAATCTGAGAGTGTCGGGATTATGTCCATAGTGCTCAATAAGATGCAGAGATAAACAAGCACTAAGAATTAAATATCTTTTCAAATATAATGACGCTTGATGTAATGAAACATTCAAGTGTAAAACTTAATCAAAAATATCTGTCTCATAAATTGCCCTCTCTTCTTGTGTACAATCATGTAAAAGCATGGCTTTATCTAATATAATACCAAATTTGTTATGTAAGCCAAACACCCAGAATGCCAAATGTCGTACTTCTAAAAGAACAATTGTAATAGTGCTGGCTTTCTTACTAACTCATTTAATATCCGGCACAATGACCTTATCAGATAGCCTTTCTCTCCCAGTATAAATGTAGTGTGGGTTTTAGTTTGTCTGCATGATTGAGAAAAATTTATGAAATGGTGGTTTGTTGTTTTTTCCGCTTTTGTTTTGTTTTGATTTGTTTTGTTTTTTCTTCTCTGTGATAGTGTTGTTTCCCCCTTATTTATTTTTAAGACAAGGTCTCACTATGTAGCCTTGGCTTTCCTGGAATTTACTATGTAGATCATGCTGGTCTCAAACTCATAGAAAATTGCCTACCTCCCAGATGCTGGGATTAAAGGCATGTACCACCATGCCTGGCCCTGGATTTTTTAAAACAGTATTAATCTTGTTACCAGTTCAAAAATAATTAGGAACATAAGCACCTTCACAATAGTGACAAATAATGAACTCTGTGTGACTTGCAGGATTACTCAGCTTTGAAGGATCTTCCTTTTGGCCTCTTCTGCTCAGCTGCATTGTGTCTAGTGTCTTGGGGTGGAGGTGGAGGTAGAGTTGGAGGATGCTTGTTTCTCCTAGATCCACAGTGGCAGACTCTGTACCAGGACAGTGTGGTGTGCCACTGTTCACTTCTCCACAGTTCACTTGGATAAATAGCACATCCTAATTTATGAGTTATGAAGGTTCAAAACATCTTGAGAATTTTTCCAAATGCCACATATTCAAAGGGTTGTTAGAATTCAAGGAAAGGCTTGGTTTACTCATTGGGCATGTCTTTTCCATTGATTGACAGCTAACATGTTGCTCAAACACTCCTTGACCTTATTCCTCGCTGGTTTTCTTTTGCCTGGCTGTAGTCCTCTCCACTTGATACTCATTAGAGTCCCCTGGCCTGTAGCTACCTTCCCAAGTCGTTGTCTTTGTAGCCCTCTCTCATGCTTTGGTTTCTCTTCTAAAGCTGGTCTTGGTTGTTCTTAGTTTGTCTTAATGTTTAAGCAGCTTTTTCACCTCAGTCTTCCCCAAAATACTTGGACTTGAAAGGAGCTATGATTTGGATTTATTAAAAACATTTCCTATTAATTTCATGATTATTTAAAGCATATGGAAAGATCAATACGTGTGAAATGGAAAAGGACAGTTGAGGAAAGGAATTTTATTTTCATGTTTGTAAGAACATATATCAAAGACTGGAAAGTTTTCTTTTCTTAAAATAAGTCAACTATTTTTTAACAATGACTTACAGATTTACCGTCTTAATGTAATTTAATTTGTCTGTTATACATCAAAGTTAAGTTTTCTTTTAAATGCAAAGCTTACAGTAATACAAAGTCATTGTTGCAAATTTGCATATAGAAATTTCGGGAAATGTGGACCTTTGTCATTGTTTTCTATAAGGTTATATTATCATATTTTCTAAGGCAGCAAGAGAAAAAAGCATAAAGCTTTCCTCAGGTAAAGAAGGCTATATAGTTCTGCTCTAGAATAACCATTGACATTCAAATTTTAACCATCTCAACATAATGTTACGAAATGGTAGAATATAATGTGAGGAAGTATAGCAGTAAAGAGCCTTCAGTGGAAATGAGTTTTAGTCTTGGCCTTCATTTCTTAGCCAAGTTCTTTGATCTCATCATGACCTGGTTCCATACGTGTAAGAAGAGCATAATTATAGGGAATTACTTCTCTTGGTAAGCATGAGCCCTTATGCAAATGAACACCAGGGACAATGAAGACAGTAGTGCCAAGAACCTCATATATTTCATTTTTCCAATAATTGAAAGTGTTGCATTTGTTATCCGTCTGTCATATTACTTTTTAATATAATGTTTTGATTGAAAAACATGCACTATGAAATTTTACAAGTGGAGAAATATCTACTCCTCGAGGGCCTGTGGTCATTGGCTCACTCTTTATACTTGCTTCTCACCTAACTCAGTGAAGGATGATGAAAAACTGAACTCTGCATGGGCCAGACTCCTGTAACTGGATTGGCGTAGCACCTGAAAGACGTGGGGAGTAATGGGATGACATCTTGAAGGAGCTCTCCTGTCTGTGGAGGCTCTGCCTAGTCACTAGCATCACTGCAGGCAACTGGATCTCTGCCAGTGCCAGCCTTTTCAGGGTGTAGCTGGGTGTGTCTGCTTGCC